ACATTCAGACGAGATCAGAGAGTTTATTCCAGGTCAAAATAAAAGACTATGAAAAACAGGAAAAATAAGTGTTGCAATAAACATGTTTGGCTTAGGGTTTGGGGTTTGTTTTTTTTCATTTCGCAGAATAGGATGAGTGATCAGAAGCTAATACCAGTGTAAGATTCATGGGACTAAATCCTAGTCCACTGAGCTATCACATACGCTGTCTCTAAAGAAGATTACTGTAATAAACCTTCTAGTACATAAATACACCAAATGAAATTGTGAACACTAAATTATTCAGCAACAAATAGAAGATATTGATTCAGAAATGCCATAAATCCAGCTCTGATGGATCCCAAAAACGTGATTCATCTGGAAACACATGCATACAAATTTATCAACAGAACAAGGAATGAATGACTAGTAACGAAACATCCCAGCAGATCACCTTACTTTGCTAAAGAATGTCCAGTAAGTGTGTGATCTGGTTTTAGCTCTGGTTTGTAGTTGCAATTTTCAAACCCAGACTTTTGCTCTTTGGGTGCATATTTATTGTTGCTCTTCTCCAATTAACTCAACTTACATGGAAGATACACTAGTGTACATGCTCAGGCCAGGCAGTTTTACCAGCTCTTATATGATGTAATGAAAGTCAGGCATAATTATTATTTACCTCATCAGAACATAAAGGACAAACTTCTTTTTCTACTGCTGTCTTCTACCCCTGAGGCTTCTCTATGGGACTTTTGGAAGACTTGGCAAAACAGCTGTAGAACCAGTTTCATGCCCTGCCTCCCTTGATAGGTAAAGGAATTACTCCCTTGCCAAATAAATAGATTAATTAAATAGATCATGTTACTTAGGGAACTGTGAGCAGAAAAGTTGATGCATGGACTTGCAATAGCAAGTCAGACAGGGATACAACATTTGCACAAGCACACCTGGTTCCACATCTACCCAAAAGTGCTCTGCAAAGGAGGTGGGTTTTGTTCCTCATAACTTTTGATTTCCCATGGGGCTTGGGCAGCAGTGCAGAGGGATTTTGAAGAGTTCATGGCCACTGTGGACACTCATATCACAAAATTCTAGATGTCCTCAAAAAACACTGAGGTCAAAAAGGGAGAGGCCCCGTGAGTCAGATGGGGGGTTTTTCAGCTCATAGTTTTGGATTTTTGTGCCTCAGATCCATCTGTATTCTATTTGAGCCCTTTTTTGAACCGACTCCAGCCATCTTCTGAAGAGTCTGTCATTATGTCAGTTAAGACCCAAAGTACTGATGGAAGCTGCTGCAAAATCCAAAATCAAAAAAGGTAAATCTCACCATTGCTATGGGGTGACTGCAGACTCTTCTGCTCTCAAAGGGACAATTCCCTACAGCCCTGTGCTGATAATTACTGCTGCTGCTTGTCAGACCTAGTAATCACGAAGCCACTCCATTCACCAGCACCATTTGTTAATCTGTGTTAGGGAACATGTACAGGAAAAAATGGTTAGTTGTTTGTTTTTTGTTTTTCCTTTGGTTTTGTTTTTGTTTTTTTTTTTAAATGCATCAGCAAACTTACTGCACAGTCCCACGACCACTGGCTTTGGTTGCATGGGTGAAAATGGCAGGAACACACAGCCAAGGGCAGATCAGCAACATATTCATAAATCAGTTTACACCAAGCATGAAGCCATTTTCCAAGTACTCATTCGACAGATTATTTTAAATGTACCTCAGGTGCATCTATACAAGTCCCAGTCACTGCAGCGCAGTGTATCGGCTCACAGGGACATGAACGAGCATGAAATTTGCAACAGAAAGATGCAGGACGGGATTCAACACAATTGAGAAATGGGAAGTTTTGGGTAGGTGGCAGAGATCAGAGACTCTGGCAGCCATTCTGATTGCCGTGAATCAGTATGGGAATGTGGTAACAAGCCGGGCACTCGGGGAGCCGGGAGAGAGACAGGGGAAAATGTTTCAGCTGCCGACAAGAACGATGGCGGGCAGGCAACCAAAAGCGTGTGAACCATTGGATGTGTGCTTGGCACTGACTCTCCTGGGAGAAAGAGTGGACAAAACAGAAAGAAGGAAGGAAAGAAAACATCAGCAGGGAAACCGAAAGCAAGAGGGAGAAGTTGCTTGGGTCAGCTTTACTCTACAAATGTCCTCACTAGCAGGCATAGTCCATGCTGGCTGTAGGTAGTTGCACAATCCCATCTCAGTCACACAGCTTAAATGTTCCACATCCTGGAACTTTTAAGCTACATTTTTTATTTGATTATAACTGCAGGTCCTTGGGCACTTTCTAACAGCAACTAGGAAATTTGCTAAATCCTCTTCTTTTCACAGGAGTATGAAAACAAACAGGCAGAAAAGCAAAAAAGCCCAACATTAACACAGGATATTCCCCACCCTATCATAAAAAGATACACTTCCCTTTTTCTAAAATGAGTGTCTAAAAAGCAGATGAACTCTTGCAATACTCCTTGAAGAGCTGAGTAATTACGGAAACATTCTGTTGGCTTAGGAATAAGTAAGTTTCACTAATGAATTTTGTTTTGCACTGAAACTTAAGAGAAAATTTCCTCTCTTCTGGATCTGTACTCTTTTTATAATACCTGTATTTCATGGCATCTAGGAGCAAGCTTGTCAGCTACCACAAAAATCTAGTTCTGAGAAAAAGCCTTATCCCAAATGTTTTCTTAACCTGAAATGTACCAACTATCACTTATGTCATATTCCCACTTCCGTGAAAATTTTGGGAAACAACTTGCTGCATCACACCCACAAAAGTGAGAGCAAAATTGCAAGTGACCACATCGTGCTTCGAAGGGGCTGAAGCAGATGGCATTTGGGGAAGTTTGTAAAAAGAAGACTGTGTAGTAGCACATGGGGAAAAAAAATCAAACCAAACCAACAAAAAAAAAAAAAAAAAAAAAAAGAAAAAAAAAAAAAGCACAGACGACAACTGAATTTGCAGGAGGGATTCTGAAAAGACGAGTTCTGCTAGGGGGTGAATAACTAGCTCTAAGATCAAAAGAACTGCTAACGTAGCTGTTTCCCTTTCGAGAGGATATGAAATAGCAATAGTAGTTGAGTGTGAATCCGATTGTAAAAGGAAAATGACTTTTGACTCAAAAGACGAGATCTTTGGGAGTTTTTGGCCGCGCTGCGGTGCGGTGCGAGGGGGCACGGAGGGTGCGGCAGGGGATGCGGGGGGCACCGGGCTGGCGGCGGGGCAGCAGCGGGTTGCGGGTTGCGGTCCCTGCAGAGGATGTGCGGGCACTGCCAGGGTCCCTCAGCATCGCTGAAGTTCACGGTTCGCGGCAGGGCCACGTCGGGGCTTGGGGAGGCACAGACGGCTCCGGGAGAAGGGAACGCGATGATCTCAGGAGTCTTTTCCAACCTAATTGCATTGATTCTGTGAAGTGTCTCTGTGGTGAGCGTGCGGGAGGAAGCGAAGGGCAGGCAGGGGCGGCGCACGGGGTGAGAAAGGGGTGACAACAGAGGGAGGGCAGCCCGAGCCCGGACCCGGGGCACGCTGCTGCGGCAGCTCAGCTGCCCAGGTGGGGGGGCCGGGCCTCGTCCGCCGCTCCCCGCCCGGCTCGGGTTACCTGGGCGGGCCGTCCCGCAGCTCCGCTCTTCCCGTCTGGCCCGGCCCCCCGACGGGAAGTGGGAGTTGGGAGTCGCGCCGGGCGGCCGGAGCTATGGCTTTCCAGGGAGCTCCTGTGCGGTGCCGGCTCCTCCTCGCCGTGTGCTGGGTGGTGGCCGCGGGCACGGCGGCAGGTAGGAGCGGGAAGGGGGGAAAGGGAAGGCAGGGCAGGGGAGGGGAGCGGGACCGGCTGCGCTCCGTGTCCGGCGGGGCCGGGGCTGGAGCAGCCGCTGCCGGGCTCTGCCGTGCGCAAGCCGGGCGGCTCGGTGCGCACATGGACACCTGTTTAAGTGAAATGCTTTCGTTTTGTAGTAGAAATCGCCCGAAGCGGGTCGGCCGTGTGCGAGGCAGCGCCGGCGCTGCGCCCTGCCCTGCTCTGCCGCTTACCGGGCGGAGGAACGGGGATGGTTTAAATCCGCGCTCCTCTCGCAGTAAGGCAGCGTTCGACAGGGTCGGCAGAAATCTTTTAAGCTCTGCGTTCGGTTCCCGGGACTGTTTCTGCCTTAAAACCCGAAGCAGAAGCCCGCCGCCCTCCTCCCGCTGCGGGAGCGGGTCCGCCGGGTGCGGGAGCCCGGGGCACCCAGAGCCCCCCTCGCCCTGGTCCTCGGCCGCTGCCTTCGCCCTCGCCCTCAGTGTCCCCGCTTCTGGAAGCGCGAGCGTTCAGTTGAAGGAAAGTTGCGTGCGTGCCTGTGAGGGTTTCATAAGGACCCGTGCTCGAAGCTTTATTAGTTCTTTCTCTGCTCGTGTTATCCCAAAACCCAGTTGCAAACTCTAGAGAACTGTTATTTTTCAGCTGGCTACAATTCATATACAATGAAATCAACCTTCAGAAAATGCTGGAGTACAGAATACAAATGTGATGTCTTTTTTATTACTTTAGGACGCTTAGACGGTACTCGAGGCAAGGGATTTGTTAATGTTTCCACATTAGGGCTTTTGGAAATAGTACGTTTTCTATGCTGGGCTGCCTCGGCTAATCTTTGCTGATTACTGCCGTGCTTTGTTTTCTTAGAAGCACCACCGTGGTTTTGCTTTTTAAGAGTGAAATAACAGCTTTCCTATGTTTTGTAGTTGGTCACTGAGTTGTTCTGCTAAAATTGCAGTAGAAATTATAATAACAAAAGTATTGCACTCTATATTTTACACAAAAAAAAGGTATGAGACTTGCCAGCCTATGAATAAAAGCTGAATGTAACATTAAAGCATGAGCTTCAGAATTGTATAGATTAATCGAAAATCTACTAGACTTAAACTTCTTATGCTAATACAATTCATCGATTTATTTATAAGCTTTGAATATTCCCACTTTGTGTCGTCAGAAATCTGCAGACTTAAGCACAATGACTTCAATCAAACTTATTAGAAGAAAATGTTCAGAACTTCAGAATAGCAACCAGGGATGACACTGTAATATTTTTAATGGTTCATGGCTTTTGTAGGTAATTAAGAGTTTGATCACGAAACCATCAGATGCTTGGAGATGTGTAGTCTTGCTGAAAAAATACATACTTATTTTTTAATATGATCAAAAGGACTTAATATTTGCAAATGTAATGTTCCGATGCTGTTCCTAAAACCCGACCTAAGTTTTTTTAGTGGAACAGGTAATAGGCGAAGATGGTCTGACTACATTCGGTTTTCTGAACCTAGAAGTGGAGACTTCTCTGCTCCTGGCATTATCTATAAAACAGAACAAACAAACAAACAAAAATTCTGAAAGTTTTAAGTATTTAAAAAAACTAAGCATATTTGGACTAAATCAGTAAATCTTTGTAATTTTTCTCATTTTTTGTGTGAGCATCCATTATCTGTGCGTACACATGGACACACAGATGGCGATAATGTCTGACCTCTACCATTGCCTGTCCTTTAACTATGCAAAGTCTGAGAAAGCTGCAGGACTTCTATGAGTTTCCGTCAAGCTTTGGCTGCTCTGACTCTCAGGAAATGTAAAATAATGGTGTCATGGACACTTTGAGTGGAATTCTTGCTCAAGGAAGCTCTCTTGCTTTTTCATCTTCCCCCTTCCTTGTACCAACAAAAGGAAATGAGTCTACAGTGTGATCTGGATGGGAAAACTGATCTTGATAGAATTATTCTGCCCTCTTCCTATGTGTTGCTTTAAATGTTGGGATGGGTTGAGCTTGGTTTCCTGGAATGAGCAAGACCAGCAGCACTAGTTGATATCTGTTTGAAGTGTTTGTGAAACTATTGAGTAACAAGGGTGCTCTCTGTCCACAGACAAACGGGTGGTGGTGCCTCAGCAATGGTATCTGTAGGTACCCTGAGAAGGAGTCTCATTGGGCTTCTTGTTTAATACCTTCTCATAGTACATATTAGAGTAGCCCTTTAAAAAAAAATAAATCCACCCTCATTTTCCTGGGGGATTCCCAATTTGTAATTCTTTCCAGAATTGATGTCTGATACAGCTTTACTTTTTCCTGGCAGTTTTCTATTTTCTGTATTTCCCTTCTTTGTTTTCTAATATGACCTTCAAGCTGTATGATGGGGTCTTGAGTAAGTGTTGGCTTGGTGCAGAAGAGTAAAGAAGGGTCAAAGCATAAACAGATTTATCCCAGCAACTCTCTCTGAGTCATGGCTCTGCTTCTGTCTGGCTTTTGGGGAGGTGAAAAAATGTACCTCTGTAGTGTGCCAGCAATAAATTACTACTTGTCCCACGCTGTTTTTGCTCACTGTGCCAGAACATAGCATTAAAAGTTTAATAGGTGAGTAATTGAAAAAGTAACTTGGTTTCCAAGTTGTCCTGTAATGTTCTTGCCTTTGCAGTCTTTGCTTAGATTGGACTAAATTGTGGTTCTAACGTACAGCTGTTGCTTGTAAAATTTAATTGCTTGTCTTTTTAGAGATTTCTCTTTAAAACCTCATTGATGGACAACTTTTGGGTAGAACAAAATATTAATTGCTTAGCAAAATCTATATAGTGTTTTTACTAAAGTTTTGGCATGTGTGATGCAAACTGACAGCAGAAAAAGCCTGAAAAGTCAGACTTATCTTCCCTCCACAAGCATGAGCTCGAGTACCACAGCCACTATGTTGTTGCATGCTGCAGTTTCTTAAAAATTACTTTCCAGTTATTTTGTGCATATTTAAAGTATTGATGGATTGAGGTAACAGGAATACTAAAAACAATCTAATGGGCAGTAGCTTATCTGATAGCAAATACAAGCTGACGAAGTCGAGAAGTTATGTGTGTTCTTTTTTTCGTTGGAAAGTTAAAAGTCAATATTACTAATGGTAAGTGTGGACCAATGGGGTTGTTACGCTGGTAACTCCTTTCTTCTAGGAGCAAAAGTTCTTCCACCTCCATCCAACCTGGACTACTCATTTATCCAAATCTGCACTCTGAACTGGACATGGAACCCCCCACAGAACGTCAGCAGTAGCTGCAACCTGGAGTATTCCAGTGACATCGTCATTAACGAGGTTCCTCAGGACAAAACAGTAAGTACATCACCTCTTTAAATCCTGCTGTGCCCTGGTAAATGTCTTATTGGGATAAAACTATGTGTGTACAAGCATACATATTTATATATAAATATATATAAGTACAGTTTTAATATAGCCTTTAATTCTTGTCATGGGATCAAAACATCAAAAATGAGTCATACCAGTATATGGGATCTTCAGATCAGAAAAATCTGTCTGTGGCTCCCTGATAATTGAAGCCTTGAATACACGCCAGCTGTGGGGTCAGCAGTGCTGCTATTCAGATATGGTTAAAATTTATATGAAGCCTTTTGCAACAGTCCTTTGTTGTTGAGCCCTGCTGTGCTTTTACAGCCTGATGCCTCTTCATGGTGACCGCTGTCTTCTTTCTCACAGCTCCAGGATATCCTGGGCATGAAGTAAGGCTGTGGTTTGGCCAGGTTGAGCAACCTGGTCTATTGGAAGGCAGGAACCCATGGTAGAGAGGTTGGAGCTTGATGGTCTTTAAGGTCCCTTCCAACACAAACTGTTTTATGATTCTGTGGTTTCACAAACAGCTGAGTTGATTTAATGTCACTACTAGAAGGGTGATGTTTCAATTTTGACACCTCTTTCTCTAATGATCTTCATTGGACCTTTACATGAGCCAGTTGAACCTGCTAACTCAGCAGAAACCTATTTACCTTTTCTGATGGGTTCACTAACAAGTAGAAGGTCACCTTGGTTAATGAGCTGAATGAGTTTGTGGAAGGGTCTAATAGATGTTAAGGTCAGCAGCAGTGAAAGAGCTGAGGGACAGCAGTTTCACAGGACAGGATGCACCCGATTGTATCATCTTGCTGTATCTTTTTTGCATTACCGTTCATAGAACCTACTCTGTCTATTGCTGTTTGGTTTATTTGCCCTCTCATTAGTGCCAGTATTTAGTATTTGTTTTTATACACAAGTGGTTACAGCATTCTTTGGTCATAACAAAGATAATGGGTTTGCATCCAGTTTCCAGTTAAGTAAAAGACATCCCCTAGCCCAACAAAAGACGCTCAAGAAAGTGTGTGATAAAAGGCTGAGCCTTTTTCTCACACAAACATGTACTCTGTTCTGCAAATGGGAGCTCATAGACTACTTGGGCTTTATGTGGTGTTGCTGTATTTAATAGCCATTTGTGGGTTTGTTTTGATAACTTTTCCTTTTGCTCCTTAAATCCATGCAAACTCTTCTCATTGCTTTTTGGTTGTGTCTCCAAATGTTTTTTCTTCACAGGAAGATGAAGGTTAGATCTCTAAGCTCCTGTTTATGTAGCTGTAATATAAACATGTTTATTTTGCATTATCCATGAAGACTTGTTCTAGGATCATTTCCCCCCGTGTTATACTTGTTTTTTGATCTCTTTGTAGCCTTTGCTCATGTTTGTAGGCCACAGGAGTAGCAGTAGTTTTCCTTAGTGAGTTCTGAGTGCCCCTGATGAGGAAAAAGCAAAGCCAAGCGATGCTGAGGCTTCCCATGTTGTCAGACGCTGATTTCATGTGGCTTTGAGCTGCAGTCTTTCTGAGGGGCTGTGATGCATTCTTACAGGAATTCCCATGTGTCTGAGATGGTGTGACATATGTTGTGGTTTTCCTCTCCCGATCTAAATGCAGGAATGGAGTAAGAGTCTCTTCCGTGTGACAGACGCGTTCTTGGATGAGGAAATGCGTTTCAAAGTGAGAAGTGAGTGCAAGCATGATAACACCAGTGAGCCCAGTCCGTGGGTGGAGACCTCCCTTCTGCCAAAAGGTAACACAAGCAGTGGCCAGACCTGAGGAGACATGGCTTTTTCTCTGCCATTTTAGCAAAATATCATAGAAATATATCATAGAGAAATACCAGCTACACGGGCCCATTCAATTGATAGGGCTTCAGGAGAATGATTATAAGACATTTAAACACAGCTGGGGTCTCCTGAGGCTTAAAATCTTATGGACAAGCTTGTAAAATTTAAATACTCTCCCAAAATAACGATGTGGTTCCTGTCCCTGCTGTGTGGTGGTTGTGGGATAAGAGATAACTTAGGTTGTGTTAAGCCTGCTGCCTTCATGACTAACACCTAAGTCAGCTTATTTTGTATGATTTTCCTGTACAAGCAAAAGTCCCTAAAGTAACCCTACATTTGCACATGTTGGAGGAAAGAATCTAGCAAATTTAACAACTTGTTGAACAAAAGACTTAAATAATTATAGTAGGGTTCTGTCTTTTTCAAAAGAGATGACTGGGGTATGCAAAGCTGTGCATAGCAAAATGAGTAGAAAAAAAAAGTATTTCTGAAATGCAGAAGTAAGGGGTGCACAGCAAAACTGTTAGGAAACAGACTTTGAGAAAGAATGTATTTTGCTGAATGCTTCAAGTTACGATGTACAGCAAGGACACAGAGCCTCTTGCCTAAAAGTCTGTCTTAACCCGGGAGCATGACTTGATGTGGACGAAAACCACGTGTGGGTGGGAGAATCAGACACCTTATCAAGCCTGTCAGTGCGTCTGCCAAAATGGTTTTCTGGAAAAATCATGGAAGCAGATTATTAGGACAGCATGTACTAAACATGCTGGGGCTTTTTATAAGTCTGTTTGCAGATGAAACTTTTTTCAATACTTCTTGGAATAGCAAAAGCAGTTTCATTTCCCTGTACTCTTAGTTGAACTACCGAGCTTGTATTTTCCCTGAAGTAGCAAAGTACACTGGGGTTTAACACACATTTAATTTTTGGTTCATGGATATGTTGCTACTTGTTAGAAGGAAAAAATATCCAATATGCTGTAATAGGATAATACGGTATAAAGAACCAGTACCATTCAGAAATGCAAGATTGAATATGAAAGACTTTATTCCATAATTGCTCTGCTTGGGAGATATATGGACATCTCTCTTTACAGTTGCTATGCACTTCCTTGTATTTATGTTCTGTAATTTGAGTTTTCCATATGTTGAATTTGAAAGTCTAGAGGTATATGGGTCTCAATTAAAAAGTCAACTTACCCAGTGTTGCTTTTGTCCATATTTAAGACCTACAGGCATTTCCATATTCAGAATACCAAGAAACTAATATTGTATCTGGAGAAGATGAAAATAGTCAGCATTTCATTATAGTTTATGTTGATGGCTGTAATAGCACTAAGCTTTGTTCTAGTTTTCCCTGTAATTGCCAGTTACTTTGACTCCTATTTAAAGTATCTGTCATTTAATAGAATAAAATATTTTCCTGACTCAACACCTTGTCCTTAGCATCAGGTAACTCTGAGTAGTAATTCAGACATGGTGAAAACTGAAATTTACTGCTGTGATTGGCTTGCATTTAGAAGTTACTCTGCTGAGATTTCAGCTATTGCAAGCTATCAACAACTGGAATTCATCATTTGCTGTGCTGAGGCAGCCAGTGTAGTCTGAGAGATAACCAACCCATTTTTGCCTTCCAGACAGTTTCAGTTGTGTAAAGATGGAAAATGGGGGAGAAGAATTTGGCAAAATAAATCTTGGAGAACCTTTCCAACTTGCCTTGTAGGTATTCCAGGTACTGCTGCTGTTGACTTGAGCTGTGTTTGGCACAATTTGGAGTACATGGTTTGTACGTGGCGTCCTGGGGAGAATGTAAGCAGTGATACCAACTATACCTTGTTTTACTGGTTCGTATGAGCTTTTTATTCCCAACTCAGGTGCTTTAGTGCTAATCTTTAGTTTTACATTACACATTCTACTTGTCTACTTCCTCTGTTGCTTTGAAGGTTCCCAGAGCATTGTGTCCAAGTTAGTGTTCAGTCCTATTGAACTCAAGGTTCCAGAGCCTGCTGTGGCCAAGACTTTTTGGGAACTTGATATAACTGTTACATGAAGCACTGTCTTCTTCTGTCACCCATTTTAACATAACTGCTATTGCTTTCTATTTTTATCTAATTGAGCATTTGATTTGAAGAGGGAAGAATTAAGCTAGACCAATATATTAATTGCTTTCTCTGCAGTCTGACAAACATGGACTGTTCAAGTCAGAATCACTCAGTAATGTACATGTCAGCTCATAAACCACTGGGAGATGTTATGAAAGGATTAATAACTCTGAACAGTAGTTTGGTTTGCATCTTCGGTATCTTAAATAACAGATTCACCTCTGAAGTTATGAAGAACATCTTTTTATCATCATCATCATCATCATCATCCCTGCTGGCCAGTGGATTGCCATAAACAGTGTCTTGTTCCAAAGGAGCAGAGTTGTGTGAGCAAACTCTTGGCATCAGTATCTGTACATGCTAATCTATGCATACTTCTGCACCTTGAAAGGGCTTGTGAAATGCCAGATTGCATGAGCTTCTGTAGAAATAGTGAAGTTTTGTTTTTGAAAGCCCTATGTAGTAGTTTTAAATCATGTTTCTGTCTTATTTGAACTAACTACATAAACTTTTTCCTATTCCTCTCCAGTAGCAGTGTCACAGGCTGTTTGATTCAGGAAATTTTGGGAGCAAACAGCAGAAAACTTGATGCTTTAGTTAAATACGGGGGGACTGTTTGTTCTCTCTCTCTCTAGACTGCTGCTCAAAGAAAGAAAGAACAGAACTAATGAGGCATTTAAGATCTGAATTTCTGGGTATATGGATATTTACTGGAATAATACTTTAGATTTGAGCTATATATTTTGAACTTGCCCCTTAATTTTAATGGAAGATGCAGCTGCAGTGACTGCAAAGTGTTTTAATTTGTGCTGCTTAGAAAGAAGAATAATTTTTAGATTTTAAATCCAAAAACTAAAGAAGCACTTTATTTTTAGACTGAAAGATACATTTTCCACAGTGCAGGTGAGGTGGTGGTTTGTTTTGGTTTTGGTTTTCAGAAATGAGTAAAGAACTGCCGGAAAAATTATTACCTAGTTCCATTCTACGTTATTCTTTGATGTCTTCCTCTAAAACACTGTCTTTTCATCTAAAGTGGATGTGAATATAATGATAACTTAGAACAAATGAATCCAGCCAGTACACAGTAATTCCTGCTGAAATGGAGGCATATGAGAGCAGGTTGATGCATCTGCACTGAGCTGCCTGCTCTGAATGCCTCTGCCCTCATCAGCCCCAGGGCAGGGAGGTGGGAAAGGTGAATAAAAAATGGGTCTGTGCTGAAAAGAGGACAGAGGGTTCAGCTTCCCGAGCCTATATATTGAGATATGAAGTAGGAGAATGCCATTCCTTTTGTGCTCCTAAATGAAGCTCTGGTTCACTCTATATCACTTTTAAATAAATAAATTGTTAGGTTTTTGGGGAGGAAAAGCTCCTGGTATATGTTCATTGGGGCTTGGGGAACAAAGAGAAGCAAGGAAAAAGGTTGTCATAGCTTCTCTGTTATTGGAAGTGAATGCTGACATTTTGAAAAGCAAATGCAGGTAAATAGGTGAAACTCGACCATCTCAAGCAAGAGCTGTGGTACCTGAGGCAGAGCTAAAGGGGATTGATCAGCTCATTCTATCACAGAAGTGAAATTCTCTTGACAAGAAATGGTCCAAATTAGTGTGCTTTCTAAATACTTTTTTCCCTTGAAATTGTTTTCCCGTTTGGATAATGTGATCCAGAGCTGACAGCAGGTATTATCTTTGATGCTTTGATATAAAGCAACCCTGCCTCTCTTTCTGCTCAACACTTATAATATTCTTTATAAAGCTTGAGATAAATTAGAGGCTTCTTACTTTGCCCAGCTTTACTTTTCTATATGCTATAGCACAGCTTTAATGCAAGATCAGTCTTTAGAATTTGTAACATGGGTTTAAAACCAAGCCTGTCCCTTGCTGTCCTTTTCTTCTGAAGTTTACAAAAATAATTTTATTCCTATAGGTTTGATGGCTTGAAAAACCCAAAGAAGTGCAGCAACTATTCTACAGACCAAGGAATCTTTGGATGCGTTTTCAGTTTTACCTTTCCAAAAGTCACCAATACTTACCCGACTATAAGTATTTTGATTAGAGATGACTCTGAAGAAATTAGACCTGTGTGTGCAAGTAAAAATCCTACCACCCTTGGTACGTTTAACACCACATCATTAAAAAAAATAATTAAGAAGTTTGGTAGTATATTGCTGTGTTTGAGAAACTTGCACCTGATAAGGTGTGGATGAGACACCATGATTAGATGCTTCCTTCTTCTACTGACCTTTGATTTGAAGTGATACAGACAGGGTTTGGTTTCCGGGGGGGTGGGTGTTAGGGTGGAGGGGTCATTTTCCATTCACTTCTACTCTTATTCTTTAGTTGGATTTATTCTTTTTTTACTTTCTGCTGCTAACTTCTTCCTCTTTCTGTTCCTAAACTGGTAGAAGTGTAATATTCTCCAATACAGGACTTGAACAATTTTTGTAAGCATTGAAATAGACTTTTGAACTAATAGTGCCATTTTGCGTTTCAGTAAAACCTGCTACACCAAGTCAAGTGACATTGTCAAAGATTAATGATAAAATAGATGTAAAATGGAGTGAATCAGAAACCTTTCCAAAAGGCTGTTTGCTTTATGAAGTTAAATATCGCAATAGTGATTTGGACACCGGTCGGATAATTCCAGTAAGTTTTCATTATTAACTTTTTTTTTCCTATGTCTCTTTCGTAATTTGTGTTGATATTTGCAGTAACTCAAATATTTGCTGTTGCAATTGAGCTGTTAATATGCTGCATGTGAATGGGGTGGGTGCATTAGCTGGAAGTGTTGCATGAATGTAAAATTTTTCTCTCGTACAGTCGGTTTCTGTTATCATACAGGTCTTGTGAATCCATCATTTGTTAGGGCAAAACAGTAATGTGTAAGAACAGTCTGATAAAGAAGTATATACTAAACTATCAGGAAATGCACTGTGGTGCCTGTGCCTGTTTGCTTCTCAGCGATATGGGCTTTGGTGTGTTGGTGTTGGGTTTTCCTGTCGTGGTCAGATGTGGTCAGATGGGAGCCTTGTTTTTGAATGGTGGGACCTGATTACTGTATAGGAAAATCAATTGCTGGTGCACACAAGAACACAAAATGTCATACAGAAAAGGGAATAAAAAGACTGAAGATGGAGGGGAAGAAAAGAAGAAGGAGGTGTGCACTCTGAGACACACTGATTTAAATGTACATGTACAAGCACTGGATATACAGCACAGTGTCTGGATATACTTATGCCTGTATCTGTATTGCCAAACAGACTGTACTTTTGATCAGAATGGTAAACAGCATAATAAATGTCAAAGTAAGTGGCAGTCTTCTCTTGTGGAGCATATTTAGTTGTTTAGTCTACCCCAAACCCGAGTGATATCAGCAATCCTCAGGAAACTGGCGTTTTGGGTCAAAAATAAGTGATGTTGATACTATCTAGTCTGTGTGCCTCTCTGTAGAGGCATCACAGAACACTTTGGTATGGTCAAAGTTAGATCAACATTGCTACCCTGACAGAGAGGAAGGCTGTGTAAATCATAGATGTTTTCAGAAGGGGGGGAAAAAAAAAAGATTAAAAAGGCACCATTCCAGACACTGAGTCTTAGTTTAATCATTGATGCCAAGTGCTGCATGATAGATGTAGCAGTGAATGAGATTAAATGTTAGCTTTGGAATCTCTGTTTAAACAGTGTGCTATTTAAGTGCCTCTTTGTCCTTTTTTTAATGAGGTTCAATAGTCATAAAAAGATGTTCTGTCAAAACACTCAGAATACATTATCTGCACAATGCAAATAGGCTTGTTCATGACTGAGAATACACTGGTAATTGAACAGAGCAAATTACCTTTTGTTTTTACCTTAGTCTGAAGAGAATTCTGTGTCGATTTCTGGCATTGATCCCAATAGCAAGTACATCTTCAAAGTGAAAGCAAAGCCAAAGCCCGACTGTTACAGCAGCGAGTTCTATAGTGACTGGAGTGAAGAAAAGAGCATTGGTGAGAGCAGTTGTCCCTGTGTTCTGTTGCACTTTATTCTTCATCTGTAAGGCATCTAATACCTTTTGTCTGCTAAATAAATGGGAGTCAAAGATCATCTTCCTATGTATTTAATTTTGGGTGAAAAGAGGGCAGGAGAGTTCTAGTCCTTCAGCAGCTCTGTCAGTTCCTGCCTGTGCTGCTAGATTTGCCATCTGTGTAGCTGGGCAATGACCCCTTTCCAGTGTGGTCAGCTTTTCAGCTCTGTGTCTTGGTGGTTTGCATTTTCTTGCCAAATATATCTACATTATAATCCCATTTTTGAAAAACAAGTCTGTCCTTGCCTACAGAAGTGATAGTGTATTTGAAAAAGCATTGAATCTATGAACAAATCAGAGAATTAACTTATTTGTTGTCATTATTCCTCAAAAGCCTCTCAAAACACCCCTAAGTTTCTACAATTTTTGTTTTCTAGGTGAGAAGAGGGACTCTACAATCTCTTTGGTTCTAATAATCACTATTCCATTAATAGTAGCAGTATCTACAATAATTCTACTGGTCTATCTGAAAAGGTAAATAACGATCTCCCTCTATTTGCTGCTGTCTTTGTCAAGAGTGAAAGTTATTAAGAATCTGTCTGTGTCAACATTCCTCCTTCCTTTTGGTTTGGGGAGTGAAAATAAGAAATAAGTGCAGTTACACAGAGAATGAAGGCTGGCCAGTGGTGCCAAAGCTGAGCCCACAAATCTTCTTGAGTGTACCCAAATATGATTTTCAAAGGGTGATTTTTAAATTAATGTATCTCTCATCTAAATATTTTCTTTTTAATTTTATGAAGGCTGAAGATATTAATTCTTCCACCAATTCCAGACCCTAGAGAAATTCTTAAGCGCATGTTTGGAGAGCAGAATGAGGATTCCCAGGTTAGTAAGAAGCTGTTGGGCCAACTAATCTATTGAACTGTGATCTCTAGGCTTGCAATTTTCTTTTTCCTACTACCTATGTCTATCTTATAACTAACTATATGTAAGTAAGTATATCATTTGAAGATTAAGTATTTACAATAGTAGGAGTTGTTCAGAAACAATTACCCAAAACTGAGATTTTCCCCCTTTGCATATACTTCTCTAGTTACACGAGTAGAATTGCATTATTCTCTTATTTCAGACTGCTAGCCCGTTAAATGTGTTTCAGGTTGGTTTTCTTTAGGTGAGGGTTTTCTGATTATCAGGATTCTTTTCCTGTGTGGGTTTTGGTTTGAGGTTTTTTGTTTGTTTTTGCAACTCCATTAGACGACTTCTGCTGAACATTCATGTGTTTTTCTGCTAGTTGCTCATATATATGATACCAAATGAAGTTATTCGTATTTGACTTCCAGAAACTTGTATTTTTAGCATTCTCACATTTCTCATAGTCAGTTAGCTTTGAAGTAAACCAGGATGTTTAGCTTCTCATTGGCAGAAGAACAAAACTAGCTATAGCCACTCCAAGCTATGGTGCCTTATTTCGGGAAAAATAAACATAGTACTGATTATGGAAACTTATTTCTAAATAAATGAATCTCAGTAGTCCTTTATAAAACCTCTAAGGGAAGTACACTGAGAAGCCCTAATTTAAGCAGTGTATGTTGTTCTCAAAGATGGGACTCCTGGCCATGAGGGCTGTAACTATGGTGGCTGTTACACTTTGTTGTGCTTTGACAAGTGCACGATTTCTCCGTGTGCTCAGTGAAAACCCTGCTGAGTGTGCACAGCCTCACTTCTCCATCCTCCTGCCTGAGCTTTACCCCTTAGCTATAGTTGGAAGCACTATTAAGGTGGGGACCAACATTCAGTTTCTCCTCTGCAGAGAGAACAACTCTTCTGTCAACCAGGCCTCAGCCATGTCTCCAAAAAGTACAGTTTGTTACCCAGCTACCTTGGCCTTTTCACCATAATATGGGGTATATATTGTGGAACATGAGTCTATCTTATTGGTCTGAAAAAACAACACTCACCATGAGGAAGTGCTGTTAAAAATGTTGTTCCTCTCTTTCAGAGCTATGCAAAGGATGATTCCATGAATGCTTACGACAAGTTAATTATGGAAGAAGAAATTCATTCTTTAATTTTAACAGAAACTTCGGAGACTCCTAATTCTGAAAAAGAAAACAGATGAACTGTGCTTTATCAGTGAAAGAGGAGGAAACTCATTCCTGCTCATACCTCAGGTGACAGTGTAGATGTGAAGAGGCCCATGAGACATTCAGCTCTCACCTCACTGAGTCCTCCTCTGATGCACAGGAGATGCATCACTAACTGTGGCTGTTCTTCCATCTCTCTGATCATCCAAGATCACTCCAGAGGAGCATGTACATAAATCCTGTCACTGCACTGCAGCATCTCCCATTCTGGCTTCAACCAGCTCTGCCCTGTTACTTGTCACTTGCACTTGAGTTTGTGCCTCACAGGAGGCTGTCAGTGCATTTTTTTGGAGCAAGCACTGTGACTTCTCTGAACTATTTGTCTCTGTTTTGCAGTAGGTGAGATAAGGTTCATGTACAGTACATGGCTCATTAGTGCTCCTGCATGGAGCTGCTGCCAGGTGTGGTCCCAGAGCACAGACTGTTTGTGGATGGCCCCGTGTGTGCCCGGGCACTTTCCGGAGGGCACTTAAGGACTGACCTTCTTGTGTTTCTGGTTGATGTGCATCAGCTGTGGCCTGGTCAGATATCTTAAAAGAGGGTGGTTTTTTTCTTTGAAAATGTGTATGAAAAGCCTCTCTGCTTTCCAGCTGGTATTCAGAATATTCATAGAAAAGGCTTAGTATTGTATCCTTTCAGTGACCTGTCCTCAGATGCCTTGCCTTCATGGACTTCTTGGGTTAATTATACTTTGCTTTGAATTATATAGATTTTTTTACCTGTGCTGTGCAGTGGCAGATAACTGTATTGAGTCTCACCAGACTGTGATTCTACTTGGGCCATATTGGCCTGAAAACACGATTTTTGGAAGCAAAGTCATCGTGAGTCTGTCCAGCAGAATTACTAGGATGGATGCTTGAGTCAAAGGAGCTCTGGTCAAATTGACAGCAAGTGTTAACCCACTGAAACTGAAATAATTCAAAGGCTTCAAGACCCATCCTTACTGCCAAGCTGATGCTTTTGGGAGAAGGGGGGATAACAACCTTGGCCTGTTTTCTAAGGGATAAGTTTTATTATTTCTATAGTGATGAGACTGTGATTTGAGCTTCCCCTCTAGGAGCTTAGCAATATAAAACAAGGTGCTGACTGGACTTCTAAAAAAAAAAAAAATTCTTCTATGTTTTACTGCAGCAGGTTGATTTTTTTTTTTTTTTAAGTCATTAATTGTTTTACTTATTTTTTGATGGTTTTGTTTTGAGGGTGCTTTACCCAGCAAAGCTCAACAGGTGTTTTTTGGCACAACTGTGGTGTTTCTCTGCTCTGAATTCCAAGCATTAGTTTCCATCCTGTGCTGCAAGGGTGGTAACAGCACCTTAATTGTGCAGGAGGAAGAAAGTAATGTAATGAGCAGAAAGGGATCTGTGGAAGCCCTTTATGGTTAGTGTTCAGGAATTTCTTGCTCCTCCCAGCTAAGTGCAGACATGTTAATCACTGATATGGTCAGTCTTAGCAGACTGGGAAGAGATCTCCTGATAAGTTTGCTAGGAACAAACTCTATAGCCACTAACCTTTTATAGTTCATCCCTGTTCTCAAACGCCAGTCAAAAATCTGAAACAAAATGCTACATTCTTAGAACATAATGTTCTGTGAGAAGCAGAACAAATGTGCATCCTTTACCCACTTGTGTATGCCCTCCTCAATAAATTCAATTCTTTCCCCAGTCCCTACTGAGCCTCTCAAATATACAGTTTCTTCCACATTCTTACCTACCTTCTGTTAGTGGTAGAAAGGGGAGGAGAAATGTAGCAGAACTAGCAGACTCCATATTAGCATTTAGCTTTTACTTACAGCAAGGCTAAAAAAAAACCCCAACATTCTAAAAATTGATAAATGAGACGAAGTGAGAATAAAGCCTCAGGGATTTGAGTGAGATAAAACTCAGGTTATAAAAAGTCAGTTAGCAGCACTGTGGGAAGTTTCAGAGGTAAAGGAATAGCGTGGGGGAGAGAGTAATTAAATTCCTGTGCCAACTTCATTCCCTCTGCCCTGCAGCATTTATATCATTATAGTGATACAAATATATTTTCAATCTACCTCATCTAGAATGTTGCTCATCACAGACCACTAGACAAACAGAAATGTATGATTTCAATATAAGTAAGCATAACAGTGTAATGTAAAGTTTTGTGGCTTTCAGTATAGCCCTCTAGGAAAATCAGTGCTTTACCCTAAATCCTTTTGACTTTTGTGCTGGTGTTTATGGTAAAACCAAAGTTTATTGTTTCTTAAAAAATCCAAACAAACAAAAAGACCCCAAACAAATTCATAAAGCCAGAGAAGTAGAAAAAAACCCAGATGTAAGCTGTAAGGCCAAAAGGAAGACTTAAATACAAAGGATGGTTTGGATTGCTGTATAGAAAAGTTTTGGATAACTCTCCCAAATAACAGCAGTTGACACACTTCCTAATGGATTAATTTCTTGAGCCTGTGTTTGTGCATGTAAAGCAATTGTCTGAGTGTACTTTCATCTTTAATGTGTATTTTTTAAGGTTAGAGGGGTTTTAGCTTGAATTTTTCCACATTTTGCTATCATTTGTTTGTTCTTCATTGCAGTTACTTGATCTGTAAATTTATTCAAAGAATTTATATTGAAAAACATTCAATAATATTTATTATGTTGTGGCATTTTGTTCTTGGGTTGAGTAGATAAACTAATATAAGAGAGGTGGTGTTTTGATGGGAAACCATGTTCAAGGGTTGCAGAACCCAAAGAAGAAAAACTTGTGTGTTGCTTTGGCCTCTTCCCTCTCAAAAGAGAACTTGAGCCACACAATCAGAGGGGAATACTATAGCCATATTTTTTTGCTGGGATAATGGAACAGAGATGGAGCTGTGAGACTTGTGCTCTCACTCTCAGGGTACTCAAGGCCATACTATGTTCTGACATTGCCATGTTGAGACTTAATAAATGATCAAACTGGAATTTGAGAGTGCTGCAGCCTTCCCAAATATAGCTCCATAGTCCTTGCTAGCTGCTGAAGTCATTGAAAATGCCAGGTTGCTAAACTACTGAAAGCCATTATTACCTAGTTGCTGGGACCCAAATGTGTTTATTTGGCACTTGAACACATTAGTGATGGCTTCCTGAAAAGATTCAGAGAAAGAATACTTTGTTCCCTTCAGTTCAGCAGATCATTCAAAATTAAGACATAACCATGACATGACCATCCAAGACACTCTTTGGATTCCTCTCTCCCAGTCCTCCTGTTTTGGTGGTAATGGTGACCAACAACAAATCACTTGCCGTAAGTGACTTTTTTCTATGTTAATACATTCTGTTAAATAATTTTTCTGTATTTGGCATCCTAGAAAAATTGAACAATTAATTTCTATCTTTTTTTGTTACTTTTAATTTATTTCAATTAAGGAATGCCATGACACAGTTGAACAGCTTTAAAGGGGTCATAAAGGAACAAGTCAAATTGTAAGCCATGGTGTTTCAGCACTTACTGGGTAGAACTATTCACAAGTTGGGCATTTCCATTCACTGGAAATTATTCAATAAGCTTAGTTCTGAGTTGGAACTTCAAATACTCAAAATTTCCCCTGGAAGGAAAATGATTTTTTTAATTAAAAAAAAATAAAGAAAAAAAAGAAATAAAAAAATGCTAACAGAAAAAATTTTTTGGTTTGCAGGGTTTTTCCCTCACCTAAGCAAGAGCAATAGGTAGGTGAAAGCCCAGGTATGGCCAGGACATTACAGGAACCTCCCTCCCTTGTCACTCTACTGCCATGGTCAGGCAGCAGCTGAGATCTGCAGGTCCAGGAATGGGCACAGTGGGGCTGGGAGGAGCAGATCTGTGGGTTATTTAAGATTCATCAAGATGATTCTCAAATACTTAGGTTTTATTCAATATTTGCAAAAAAGTTTTCAGGGGAGCAAGCCCCATGGTTTGCACTGTCAGCTGTAGAAATGCAGCCTTGAAATAATACTGAAAATCCAAATGTAAAACCAGATTAAAATCTCTCTATTTGGATGAGCTTCCTGCAAGCTGTCTTCAGTCATGGTGATAGCAGGAGACTTGAGATAGTTGATGTAACTAAATCCATGCTCTCACCACAGCAAAGCAATGTGGGTTTGGGTGGGTGGCACGGGAGAGACAAACTTTCTCTCAGGTCCGGAAACTCTGCCTCAGTTTTGTAACATCTGAGAGCCTGAAAGCTTGGTGATGACTCTTGGGGGGTTTTTGTGCAGCTGTTTTTTCCCCCCTCTCTTTTTTTCCAGTTATATTGGTTAGGTTAATGAAATCCTTTCTCTTTGCTTTTAGACCTTGTAGAAGCATCCTTTTGACAGCTGTTCTCTAATTATTGCCAAGTAGTGTTCTGAAGGTAATAATTCAGTGGGGAAAACTGTAAACTAGGCAGTGTATTCTAGTAATAGTCTCTGTTCCTTGTTTTGCTTTTGCCAAGTACTGCAATTATTTTGATGACTCTTGCACAAAGCATCTACAAAGAGAGTCTTTCCAGTTAACCAGTGCTTCCAGTAATCATACTCTTTGCTTAATACATCAGTTCTCCTCTATTTAATTTAGCTCAAACTGCTAAAATGGACTTGGCTAAGTGCATGATGAAATTAAAAGCTTACTGAGAAAGAGGTTTTGTTAAGCTCAGGCACTGCCATTTCTTGGAACTTGGGCAAAATTTACAAATTTAGATCAAGTGTTAGGGGCAGGAGTTAAGCTAATGCTCTAAAATTAGAGCTGCCTCTTCATCTTCTGTGCTGAAAAAAAAAAAAAGGAAAAAAAAACCCCAAACCTCCAAACCCAAATAGGTATGTTTTCCATGTTATTAACAAAATGGTGTGTGCAATAGGCAACCTTTCTTATTGATATACTGAAATTGCTATCAGCAATTTCTGTCTGTTTTCTCCTCTGAAGCACTAGAACTTAAGGCACTTAGCAATGTCATTGCTGCTTCTTAACCAGTTTTCTTGTAGCAATAGGAACAAAATCCACTGATTTTTTTTTTCTTTTTTTTTTTTTTTTAACAGCAAGAGATCACCAAAATTAGCTTGTTTTGCCTCTTGGAGCCTTTCTCCCTCCTGCACTTCAAAGCCTCTTAGCCTCACTAGTTTCTTTCCTTCACACAAAATGTCAGTGTGGAAACTTCAAAAATGCCAGCTAGGTACTCTTAAAAGGTGTGAAATTGCTCAGTCCTTCAAATGTCAAAATCAGCTACAAGGAAAGCTGTTCATGGTATGGCTATTTAGTTTTAATGTCACACCCTGTCATGTTCTAGGAGAACATTCATCTGTAGACACTGACAAGAACAAGATGAATGGGTCTTAACAAAACGTGTCTATCTGCTTGTAGATAAGGGGAATAAGAACCAATCAGCAAAGAGAAGGATTTTGGGGAGTTCAGCTAGCCTGGACTAGATGCTTCTTTACCGAGGTTATGCTGAACTTCTCAACTCTTCAGGCTTAATGAGGGTTATACATATTAACTTCTATGCCCAGAGTGGGTTTAGAGCTAATTTTAGTGGTCATACATTATGTGTAACGGGGGGGAACACACTTGTACCTCCCAATTACCTCAGGCAATGGGGAAGGGGAGAGGGTGGTATGCAGCTGGGAAGTTGGGATAAAAGTGAGGCTGTATCCCCTCGTCAAACTGAGAAAGTTTTCATTGGGCATTGCCTTAGTGACCTTTCTCCCTTTACCTGGATAAAGCTAGAAAAAAAGGTAAAACCAAAAAGGCTCTTCTGTCTCCTTTGTGGACACTAACCTCCAGCAACGTGACTTTTCCTCACAATACCCTTCAGTACCTTGGCAGGTACTAAGGCAGAGCAATTAGTTGACATTTTTTCACAGCTGACTTTCATAGCACTTTTCTTGCATTCAGACTTTGTGACTTGTTTTCCTAGGAGGTAGAAAAGCTGGCAACATCCCAGGCAGAGAAAAGGGCATCTGCCTTTCTGTACATGGGACTTCAAGGACGGTGTTTGAGCTTGGTTTGGAGCAAAAACCCTGTTTCCAAATCCTTGGAAACACTGAGTCATTTCGTTTTGTGTGTAATACTAATTCTTTTGTTTATGAGCTGTATGTAAAATAGTATTGATCATCTGTTTATTAAAGCTTCCTTATAAAGAAGGAAGATTTATTAGGGCGCCTGCTGCTGTTTTCTTCTGCTGAGTGGTGCCAAGGCAGAGCATTCTTGGTGTAGATTTGTCCAACTTGTAAAAAAAACTCTAAGTGAAAGTGTCTCCCAAATGTTCTGTCTCACTGCTGTTTCCTCCTTAACTCAAAAACTTCCCCACAAACTGACCTGAATTGATTTTGCTGCAAATTGAGTTGCCTTCCCCTCTGTCCTCCCCCTAATCAGGGAACACAGTGGTTCAACATCTGGTTTGCACTCTGCTCACGCTGTCCTGAGTTCTGTTCCTGCTCTCTTCTGCTTTGGAGAAAAAAAATCAAAACTGAACATTTCAGTCTTATCTCCTAAGTTATGTTTTCTAAATCATTAATCATTGCTATTGGTCTTCTGTAGAGCTGAGAGTGTTGCTCTCTAAGCCAGGCTGCATCATCCCCAAGCCAGCAGAACAATTACCTTGTTTGTCTCTTGGTCCTCTTTCCCCAACTTCCAGCAGAACTAGTAGCTGCTACTTTCTTGGCAACAGCTCATTGTATAGCTGCTCCTTGGTTTGTGGCTTTCTATGATTTCTGATTTTTTTCAGTAACACTGCTGCCCTGTCAGCTACTCCTTACTGCAAAATTGCTTTCTCCTGCCTAAGAGCAATGCTTTTGACAATTTTATTGGATTGTATTTTTGTGTTACTCTGCCAATTTGGAAAACTAGTGCAATTTTTTATACTCTAATTGTGTTTTTGAACATCCTTGTAATCATTCCTCCTTGGGTATAATCCACAGAGGGTCATTTTTCAGGTGAGCAAATTGTTAAAATGCTGAATAAAGCTGCTAACCTGACACATTCCTGCAAAGCAGCAGCGTTTGCTGTCTTGCTGGGTGATCAAGTGCTCTTTAAGACTTTTTTTTTTTTTCAGATAGCTGCATACCCATCTCAGTGATTAATTTGTATTTCCTCAAGCTGATTAGAAGGATGTTGCCTCATATGTTAGGTCTGTCCTAAAGGGAAACTGGACTTGTTTGGTACAAGCTGTTCTTGATGGTTGGTAAAAACCCAAGGAAGGGATTAAAAAACAAAACTGTTTACTTTGGTCCAGAGTTACTCTAGGGAGAAAAGTTGGGCAAATGGGCCAATAATTCCTTGGATGCTTCCTTTCTGAGGACAACATGATGTTTGTCCTTCAGTTTTTAAAGACTTCTCCTGTTTTTTACAGACCTCAAAGAAAACTGCCCACATTTCAGGTTGCATGAAGTGTTTAGATTGTTACATGCTGCAAGATTAATAAGGACCTGTCCACCTGAAGTCATCCACTTTAGCTGATTGTTCTCCAGCCTGTTTGTCTGAATGTATTTGCTTGGAGCTTGTTCTGATCTTTCCTATGTAGTCTTGAGCCTGCACTTCGTCTTCCTTTAGCCTGCAGGGTATCCAAAGGCTGTCTTCCAGTCTGTTCTGTCCCCTGTCAGTCAAGACTTGGTTTAGCCTGTTGCCTTCATGTCCTCAGCCATGTCACAAGCCTCGGTTCAAGGCCCTATTCCCAGTGGGGTGAGGGCTGGAGGGCAAAGAAAGAGCAGGGCTTGGAGCAAATAAAAGTCATCAGCACTCATTGAGATAGTGACCACAGATTACAGCAGACAGAACAGCCTGGCCAGGCTTTTCCTTTGTCCTCATTTCTCTACCAAATATGGTACAAGTGCCTGGTGGGGCTGAGGGGAGGCAGAGCCCTGCTAGTGTGCTCCTCAGCCCATTTCCAACATGCAGCTTTCCCCTGCCCAGAGTGCTCTCAAAGGTGGTTCAATGTCACTCCTAAATAGTTCACTACCTTGTTCCTGTTTTTCTGCAGAAGTCAAACAGCACAGTGTTGAAAGCCATGAGAAGCTGCAATTGGTGGCACATATTTTGACAGAACCTCAGCCATCTCCACATGACTGTGGAGAAGATTCTTGGAAAAGTGAAACAACTTTCAAGAAGCAAAAGGAAAAGGGAAAGAAATGGAAAGAAACGATCCAAGATGTTTACATATATTAATTAATTTATTTATATTCTTTACTTTTCAGTGTTGCACTAGTTCTACATCACATTAATTCAAAATCAATCTTTCTTTACATGATCTATGACTTAGCAACTATTATACACTCAAAAGTACCATTAGCTACACACAGTCTGCCTGCCTCTGCAATTAATGCTGGAAACATAAGAAACATGCAAATAAAAGGTTTTAGAGTATGGTTCTTTGGTCAAGTACAAATTCTGCAGTTAAGGAATGTGCTTCCATAGTATTTTGCCCTCAGCAGTGACAATACACAGCAGCAAGAAAGGCAATTCCTGTGACATTTTTCAGGAGTAAAGAGTCCATATCTTGGCTTAACATGGCAAAACAGGTGCTTTCTTTGCAGAGAGCACCTCTGCTCCAGGGCGACAGTGCTGGCTTGGCAGGGAGGAGGGAGACAGGCAGAGTGGAACTACACAGTAACACTGCAGCACTTCAACTGAACTCGATGGATTAAGTTCAGTATTACTTAGATGGTGCCTCTGTGAATTGATCCAGAGTAGTAAAATTAAAAGTCTACTACAGGCATTGGATATTCTCCAGCTACACACAGAAAGCCTGTGCTTCTAACATTGGCACTCCATTCTGCAAGAGTAAACATCTCTCCTTCACAGCTTTTCAAACAACACTTGTGTAAAATAAAATTATATCCTTTAACATTTTAAGTATGTTGTCTATGTTCTGATATTCTTTTAGAGTTAGGAAGTCCTAACATATAGGGTGAAATGATTAATGCTATGTATTACAGGTGTACTAAGCAGTGCAATGCCACAACCAGCCTTTGCTGCATTTCTATGGAGGTGGCTGGAACAACTCAACAGGGTGGCTCTGTGACAGCGTTAGCCACATCAGTCCTTTTGCACAAGGATAATTACTTTACATTGCTTTGGAAAATAATGGTTTCATTAAAATTAGACTTCGACCTGAAGTATATCTAAATAAAAAACACTGGCTGACACAGTCAGCATTGGCTCAGTTTGGAACATGAAGTGCTGGTGCGTCTCCAGAACAATGGTCGCTCAACTTCACATACCCACATCAGCAACCCAAGTACACAAATAACACTGCAAGCAACACCCTGCTCTTCTAGGGTTGGTATGTTTTCATTTTGCCTTTTGTGGGTACTCTGAAAGGTATGAGTTGACAAACATTGCTCTAGAGCTAATACTAAGGGTCCATACAAAATAGATACATACAATACATAGTCACATTTAATTAAGTTTTACTCCTTATTCTCCTTAATACATTTTTAAACTGTAAACTATACTAGAAACAGAATACTTTTTTTCCTTTTCATTTTTTTTTTAATTTGAAGTTGCCTGTGAACTTATATATAATAAAATCAGTTATGGGTCTTCTTCAAAGTACCATTATCTGAAGATAGGGAACAGACTTGAGGGCAAAGTCCACTGTCCTCAGGGCAGACAAGTAAGCTACTGGTTCACAGAGATAATCCCCAATCACCAACAGGCTGCTAAAATATGCCTAGAAGTTTTCCAAAAAAGAATATGTCTGTTCCTATAAATTAACTCTGTGGGCTTTGGTCAATAATGGTACAACTGAACTGGCAAGCTTCCATAATGCAATTATTTCTTCTTAAAGAATTGAATGAGACCAGCATTTCAAATGGGCAAGTAGTCAACTACCAATAAACTCCTGCTTGAGAATAATTTCCAGTTCTGGATGAGAACTGAGGCTGTTTAACATGGGAGGAAAAAGTGCTACTTGATTCTGAACTCAGCAGGAGTCAGCTGCTACCTAGTACACAGGCAAAAAAGAATTTTACAGAGTGTCTTGCTCTTGTGGAAGTAGCAGCTTCTTGTAGGTGCTGAACTCCTTCATGTACTCAGAATACAGCTATAAGTGGTGTGACAAACTGTGCATACTGCCATGTTTACCACTTCTTAAAGACAGTTTTTCTCTTGCAAAGCTAGAAGTAAGTTCCAGTAAAAAATTTTGTTTTAACAAATATTTCATTACTTTTTTATTCATGAATAAAACATGTTAAAAGTGTTTGGGTGCTATACTCACTACCCAACAGTATGTACAAAAGCAGACATATAAAAACACAGGAGCTGCCCTTGCTAAGGCAAAAAGAGCAAAGTAGGTTCTTGCATTGCGGTACTAAAGGCACCATGTTTCAAGACTGAAAAATAAAGGCAACAATTGTCCTTGCCAGTTCCATGGATGACCATTACAACTGCCCCAAGAATCATAACTTTATATTTGTGCCTGCTAGTTCTAGAAAAGTGCAATGTTTACGTTCAAGTTACAGAAATTTTATTTCCCTTCTTTTGAACAATATAAATTTGAAAATAAGTTATTAAATTATACTGGATCCAGCACACCTGGTTCCTCTGTCTTGTAGATTTTGGTCAGAAAGACTTCCACCTTGTCATCACCCAAGTGACAGATGTCCAAGATGCAGACAACGTGTTTGCCATCGAGATCCTTTGCTGCTTTTACAATTTCATCTAGAAGTTAAGAAAGGGTGTTTTTAAAAGGTATTTACTGTATACTGCGTGTACAATAAAGAGGTGTACTGAATTGATACTGTTTGCCATACAGTAATGTATGTATGTTCAACCTTCTTTCAGTGAAAAATTTTATTAGTAAATTCAATCACTAGAAATGATAGCATCAGAATTAGATATGGAAAAGCTGATATATGGATTAATTAACCACTAGTGGTCTCAGATTTCATAGCGCTATTGAAGGAAAAGTAATGATGTATTTAAATAAAATCAGGTCTGTATGTTCTATATAACCATGCAGGAAAACATGATGTTTATCCAGCACTTTGCAGCATGACACACACAGTAATGCTCATCATATTTGTTCTGATGTGCTAGTAATTAGAAGCATAATCTGAAGTAATTCAATAGCAGGCAAATACTTCAGCACACAGGCACTGCAGGTTGTGTTAAAACAGCTGTTCAAAGTGTCATCACTTAAATTAACTGACTGATTGACAGTTACTCCATTTTATTTCAAAGCACACGCTGACTTCCATCTATACCAGTATAACTTTGCATCAACAAATAACTGCCAACACTATCTAGGTCACTTAGGAGTTTGTGGTTTGGGTATTAAAATACTGTCTTCAGAGTATGAGAACAGCTCCAGTAAAAACTGCCTTGAAAGTTCAGAGTTACATCTATTTACTAAAGGTGATGACATAGAATTCATGTCTCTCACTGAAGAGGTGAGCAATGTCTGACCCACACCAG